CTCTTGTCTGGGCCTTTCCCTCTCAGAGGACGCTGTAGTGGATGGTTCCAAGCCACAGTCTTGTTTGCTCTGGACTCCAGTTCCCCTAAATAGCTGCTCCCTCTGGGAAGTTGGGGGTTGATGGGCCCTGGGTTGGGGGTGGGTGTGGCCAGCTGGATGAATTGAAGGCTGGCACGCCCATCCCCTGGGTAATCCCCCTTTTTTTCCCTTTATAGGCTGGGCAGGACAGAGGACTGGAAAACCTTACGTTCTGTTAGCCGATGCCAGAACAAATTTCAGGTCATTTCAGAGTCTTTCCTGTAGGCTTAGCTCCTGGCTGAGTAAGTTCCCATAACTGGCTCTGGAGGTGGCCACCTCCCTGCAAGGTTTCCCAGGGTGGGAGAGGACCCTCTGCGGTTCTACTCTAGGATGCATCCTTCCCTGGGCCAGGACTGCTCCTTTCTTTTGCTAGCAGTGGCATTTGGGAACAGGAATGAGGACAATCGCTGTTGTTCATTCCTTGTCAACCTTCATTCGCATACTGAGTGCATACTCAGCCTGGACAAAGCTCCAGGACCCCAGCAGGACCTTGGGAGGTTATGAGGGCTACGCCCTAGTGCTGCTTTGGGAAGCCCAGCTCTGGACAAGGCGTTGAATAGAGATTTCCCTTTCACTGGCTTAGCCAGTACCTCCACCTCCTGTTCTTTCTCCTCCTTATTGTCCTCCTCCTTCCCAGTCCCATTTGTTACCAAACCTGGGAAAAGTCAGAGTGGCCCTTGAAGTCCTCACAAAGCACTGCCTCCTCTCTGTCCCCTGTCCTTGCCTATCTGGAGGGGGCCGGCTAGGCTCCTTTCCCATCAGCCTGCAGGTGCACAGTGACTCCAGCCCTAATTCACAAAGTAAATATTTTTTATTTCCTGTCCCTCAATAGGTGCTAAGAATTTAGCTTCCCTGATCTTAAGTAAACACTCTCCGACTCCAGCCCTAAAAGTCACAGTAGCAAAGGCCCCACATGTTCCACACACGCTCTGGCCCCTGGGATGTGCGCAGCCCCGAAGTGGGCTCTGCTTGTACAACGGAGGTCTGTGCTCAGATCAATTCTGGGTCCAAACGAGGGAAAACCAGGGGCAAAGCCCCCGACTTCCTCTGCCCCCATGGTGTAAGCAGAAGATGGAAACAGCCTGGGGACTGAGTCACGGCATGGAGGACAGGTGGGTGGGGTATCTCTCAGTCCCCGAGGACTTGGCACAAATGAGGCCTTTTTCCTCTCAAGTGCTGATCACTGAGGCTGAGAGGTCCTGCAACGCGCCCTGCTCTGCCCTGACAGGCAGCCAGGCACCAGGCAGCTTTCCTCTCGAAAACAGTTTAATTCAAGTGCCAGACCCGAGTCCCGAGTTCGGTCATGTCCCCTGCTTCCATCCCCAGTTCTATGTGGAAGCCTTTAACCCCAGGCCCTTGGGACGTGATGCTAATTAGAACTAGGGTCACCATAGAAGGCATTAGTTGAGTCACCAGGGTGGGCCCTAACCCAAAATGACTGTTATCCTTGTTAAAAAGGAAATTTGGACACACAGACACACAAGGAGTTCTTTTAGCTTCTTATTTTGAAATAAATGTTCACGTACAGGAAAGTTGCAAAAGTAGAGTTTCCAAATACCCTTTTTTTCTTTTTTTGGAGAGGTTTTTGCTATAGGGTGCGTGCGCTCGCCAGAAAGAGAGAGACAGAGAGATAGAAAGTGAGAAATCACCCCCTGGGGGGATGGCCACACCGCATTCCCTTCTCCTCCATTCTCCTCTCGGGATCCTGGGTACGCATGCACCCACGCCGGCGTGAGTTTAAGCCACCGAGTCTGGGACTTGAACCGCAGTCGACTATGTGGGAGTCCAATGACATAGCCATTGCGCTAACTGCTGGTCCCGAGTTTCCAAACACTCTTCATTTTCCCTCAGGATTACATCACAGCCAGGGTATAGTCATGCAAAGCAGGAAATTAACAGTATTTATTAATCTGCAGGCCAGTTTTCTGGCTAATATCCTCTGAATCTAGAATCCAACCAGGATCTCATGTCACATGCACTTTTCTTTTCTTTCTTTTCTCTCTCTTTTCTTTTTTTAAAGAGGATTTTGCTATAGGGCATGTATGCTTGCTGGAGAGACAGTGAAAAGTGAAAGACAGAGAGACAGTGAGAAATCATCCCCCCCACTCCCAGGGAATGGCCATGCTGCAGTCCCTTCTCCTTCATGCTCCTCCTGGGACTTTAGGCATGCATGTACATGTGCCCGGTGTGAGTTTCAAACAGCAGGAACCGGGACTCAAACTGGTCACCATGTGGGAGTCTGGTCCCTTAACCACCACACCACCTGCTGGCCCCCACATGCAGTTTCAATGTCTCTTTCATCTCTTCTAAGTTGTAACTGCTCCTGACCTCTCTTTGTCTTTGATGACCTTGACACTGCTGAAGAGTCAAGTCAGGTTTTGTAGAACTTCCTTCCCTTTGGGTTCATCTGATGTGCTCTCACGTTCAGACCGAGGCTGCATTTTGGGCAAGAATATCCTAGAAATGATATCATGCCCTTCTCAGTGAATCTGATCAGTGGTTCATGATATGGTAAGTCTCACTACTCTTTTTTTTTGTTTTTTAAACAAATTTGCCAGAGAGCACGTGTGCTTGTAGGAGAGAAAGATAGAGAGGTAAAGTAAAAATCACCTCCTCCTCTCTGTACTCACCCCACCACCCCCACATCCACCATGGGAATGGCCGCTGCAATCCCTTCTCCTCCATTTCTCCCTCGCTTTGGGATTTGGGGTATACATGCTCAGGTGCCTGGCATGTTTCTCAAGCTGCTGGGTCTACACCCATGTGCGATTCAGCTGCCTTAATCACCAGGCTACCTGCTGGGTTGTTAAGTCCCATAACTCTTTTTTTTTTTTTTTTTTGAGAGGTTTTTGCTATAGGGTGTGCACACTTGCCTGAAAGACAGAGAGAGAGACAGAGAGACAGAAAGCGAGAAATAATCTCCCAAGGGGGATGGCCACGCCACAATCCCTTCTCCTCCATTCTCCTCTCAGGATCTTGAGCACGCACGCACATGCACCTGGCCTGACTTTAAGTCACCGGGTCTGAGATTCGAACCATGTTTGACTACATGGGAGTCCAGTGACATAGCCATCACGCCAACTGTTGGTTTCCCCATAACTCTTGATGTTAACCTTGATCATGTAGCCGTCAGGTTCCCCACCTTAAAGTTACTTTGTCACTAATAAGTACTTAATTATTTACTTAATTAGTTACTTTTGTGACGAATAAGTTTCTTGGGGGGTTACCTCAAGGTGATACAAATATCCCATCTTGCATGATACTCCCTCTGACTACTGATTTCGGGACTCTTAGGGTCACTTGATTATTCTTGCCTGTAATAGCCGTCGCTGGTATTTTTCCGGCTTCGTCATTTCGTCAGCATTAAGTATTTGAATTTTGCTGAAGGTAAGAGCTTTTCCTGTATTTAGCTATATTCATATAGGCTCAATGTGTTTACTTACGAGTTAGAATTCAACACAATTTTTACTTACGTTCTCACTCAAATTGTTCCATGTTGGCCATGGAGAGCTCCTTCAGGTGACATCTATGTCTGACGCCCAGATCGTTTTTGCGTAAGTACTTCCTTACTCTCTGATGCCACAAGATTTTCCAAACTTTTTTTGCATTTCTTCTTTCTCAATCCCAGAACAGTCATTTCTTTGAGGAATCCTGATCATTTTTTTTTTTTTTTAGAATGATATTTAGAAACAAAGATCTGGAAGCTAGGGACATTCAATGTTACTGGGTTGTCACTGCTTCTGGGCCTTCTCAGCAGTCAAAGCTGGAAAACACACACACACACACACACACACACACACACACACACACACACAGGCTCAAACTCAGACATTCGCATGATGAATTTATACCGATGCTGCTAATTCCAACCCAACGCCACACAGCTCACTGTACTTGTAACTCCTTTCTCTCATACATGTGTCATTATTCACAATATGTTTTACTTCTTTGTCTAATTGTAGTACAACTAAAGTAGCTTTAGGCTTGCTAACCCAGACCTCTGTGAGAAACAGATTTACTGACCAGAGTACAGTGTTCGTGTGCAGGTCTGATCTTTAACCTTACGGTGTACCATCGAAATATGTTTTCAGAAGTTACTTAGCTTAGTTCTCTTCTCCATCCCCTTAAATGTGGTTGTGATATCCATTTGTAATATGGTGGTATTCATTTGGGATTGTTTGTATTCCATTTAGGTTCCATCCACTTCCTGGTTGGTTTGCATTATATTTATTACTCGGGTGGGGCGGTGTGAGACACACACGGCCTTGTGAAACTAGGTAAGAGCTGAACTAAAAGGCATAATCAGAGAGGGGTTCTCCTCACTCATCCCTACTGTCCTCCTCCTCATCTTTTTTCTGCTTTCCCTCATTCCCTCCACCGTCTGCAGGTAACTGTGTGAGTCAGCTATTGCTGCGTAACAAGTTACCATGATCTCAGCCGCTGGAAACCACGTAGATTTTGATCTCTCACAAAACTGCAAACAGGGTGCTCGTGGGGCTGTACAGTCATGGGGGGAGCCGTGGTCCTCTGCTTGGTCCTCTTCCAGACTCATTCAAACCCTCCACTCCTAGAGGTCCCGCCATAGGCTGTTCACAGCACAGTGGGTCACTTCTCCAAGGCCACCATGGGACCCTCTCACTTCAGTCTGCCGGGACAGTCTTACATGGTGCGATCGACTCCTGCAGTGGTTATCCCTCCCCTTTACTATCTTCTTTTTTAAAAGATGTCTTCTTCTTCTCACGAGTGAGAGACAGTGACATACATGGAGGGACAGACAGAGACAGAGAGAGATAAGAACCTTCAGCAGAGCCTCAGAGTACAATCCCCACATCCCGTGCCCTAGCCTTTCCCAGCCAGCCAGGATCAAGGGCACGCCCTGGCGTGTACAAGCCGACTCAAGGCCTGAACCCTGATTTCCCACGTGACTTCCAGCCCGGCAAAGCAGAGTGCGCTGATGAGCCACGGCGGCTGGGCCTCTTTTGCTTTATTCAACTATTTAGAAGCAAGTCATAGGTTCTCTCAGCACTCAGGGAAGGGGATTTTACCCTG